CTCTCTCTCTCTCTCTCTCTCTCTCTCTCTCTCTCTCTCTCTCTCTCTCTCTCTCTCTCTCTCTCTCTCTCTCTCTCTCTCTCTCTCTCTCTCTCTCTCTCTCTCTCTCTCTCTCTCTCTCTCTCTCTCTCTCTCTCTCTCTCTCTCTCTCTCTCTCTCTCTCTCTCTCTCTCTCTCTCTCTCTCTCTCTCTCTCTCTCTCTCTCTCTCTCTCTCTCTCTCTCTCTCTCTCTCTCTCTCTCTCTCTCTCTCTCTCTCTCTCTCTCTCTCTCTCTCTCTCTCTCTCTCTCTCTCTCTCTCTCTCTCTCTCTCTCTCTCTCTCTCTCTCTCTCTCTCTCTCTCTCTCTCTCTCTCTCTCTCTCTCTCTCTCTCTCTCTCTCTTTCTCTCTCTCTCTTTCTCTCTCTCTCTCTCTCTCTCTCTCTCTGCAGCATACCTCTGCCCTGACCTTCCCTGCAGCATACCCCTGCCCTGACCTTCCCCGCAGCATACCCCTGCCCTGACCTTCCCTGCAGCATACCTCTACCCTGCCCCGACCTTCCCTGCAGCATACCCCTCTCCTGACCTTCCCTGCAGCATACCCCTGCCCTGACCTTCCCTGCAGCATACCCCTGCCCTGACCTTCCCCGCGGCATACCCCTGCCCTGACCTTCCCTGCAGCATACCCCTACCCTGACCTTCCCTGCAGCATACCCCTACCCTGACCTTCCCCGAAGCATACCTCTGCCCTGACCTTCCCTGCAGCATACCCCTGCCCTGACCTTCCCCGCAGCATACCCCTACCCTGACCTTCCCTGCAGCATACCTCTGCCCTGACCTTCCCTGCAGCATACCCTGCCCTGACCTTCCCTGCAGCATACCTCTGCCCTGACCTTCCCCGAAGCATACCTCTGCCCTGACCTTCCCTGCAGCATACCCCTACCCTGACTTTCCCTGCAGCATACCCCTGCCCTGACCTTCCCTGCAGCATACCCCTACCCTGACCTTCCCCGAAGCATACCTCTGCCCTGACCTTCCCTGCAGCATACCCCTGCCCTGACTTTACCCGAAGCATACCCCTACCCTGACCTTCCCCGCAGCATACCCCTACCCTGACTTTCCCTGCAGCATACCCCTGCCCTGACCTTCCCTGCAGCATACCCCTACCCTGACCTTCCCCGAAGCATACCTCTGCCCTGACCTTCCCTGCAGCATACCCCTGCCCTGACCTTACCCGAAGCATACCCCTACCCTGACCTTCCCTGCAGCATATTTTTGACCTGACCTTCCCTGCAGCATTCCCCTGCCCTGACCTTCCCTGCAGCATACCCCTGCCCTGACTTTCCCTGCAGCATACCCCTACCCTGACTTTCCCTGCAGCATACTCCTGCCCTGACCTTCCCTGCAGCATACCCTTGCCCTGACCTTCCCTGCAGCATACCCGTGCCCCGACCTTCCCTGAAGCATACCCCTGCCCCGACCTTCCCTGCAGCATACCCCTGCCCTGACCTTCCCTGCAGCATACCCGTGCCCTGATCTTCCCTGCAGCATACCCCTGCCCTGACCTTCCCTGCAGCATACCCCTGTCCTGACCTTCCCTGCAGCATACCCCTACTCTGACCTTCCCTGCAGCATACACCTGCCCTGACCTTCCCTGCAGCATACCCCTACCCTGACCTTCCCTGCAGCATACCCCTGCCCTGACCTTCCCTGCAGCATACCCCTACTCTGACCTTCCCTGCAGCATACCCCTGCCCTGACCTTCCCTGCAGCATACCCCTGCCCTGACCTTCCTTGCAGCAAACTCCTGCCCTGACCTTCCCTGCAGCATACCCGTGCCCTGACCTTCCCTGCAGCATACTCCTGCCCTGACCTTCCCTGCAGCATATCCCTACTCTGACCTTCCCTGCAGCATACCCTGCCCTGACCTTCCCCGCAGCATACCTCTACCCTGCCCTGACCTTCCCTGCAGCATACCCCTACCATGCCCTGACCTTCCGTGCAGCATACCCCTGACCTTCCCTGCAGCATACCCCTACCCTGCCCTGACCTTCCCTGCAGCATACCCCTACCCTGCCCTGACCTTTCCTGCAGCATACCCCTACCCTGCCCTGACCTTCCCTGCAGCATACCCCTACCCTGCCCTGACCTTCCCTGCAGCATACCCCTACCCTGACCTTCCCTGCAGCATACCCCTACCCTGACCTTCCCTGCAGCAAACCCCTGCCCTGACCTTCCCTGCAGCATACCCCTACCCTGACCTTCCCTGCAGCATACCCCTACCCTGACCTTCCCTGCAGCAAACCCCTGCCCTGACCTTCCCTGCAGCATACCCCTGCCCTGACCTTCCCCGCAGCATACCTCTGCCCTGACCTTCCCTGCAGCATAGCCGTGCCCTGACCTTCCCTGCAGCATACCCCTACCCTGACCTTCCCTGCAGCAAACCCCTACCCTGACCTTCCCTGCAGCATACCCCTACCCTGACCTTCCCTGCAGCATACCCGTGCCCTGACCTTCCCTGCAGCATACCCGTGCCCTGACCTTCCCTGCAGCATAGCCGTGCCCTGACCTTCCCTGCAGCATACCCCTACCCTGACCTTCCCTGCAGCATACCCCTGCCCTGACCTTCCCTGCAGCATACCCCTACCCTGACCTTCCCTGCAGCATACCCCTACCCTGACCTTCCCTGCAACAAACCCCTGCCCTGACCTTCCCTGCAGCATACCCCTGCCCTGACCTTCCCCGCAGCATACCTCTGCCCTGACCTTCCCTGCAGCATACCCGTGTCCTGACCTTCCCTGCAGCATACCCGTGCCCTGACCTTCCCTGCAGCATACCCCAACCCTGACCTTCCTTACAGCATACCCCAACCCTGACCTTCCTTGCAGCATACCCGTGCCCTGACCTTCCCTGCAGCATACCCGTGCCCTGACCTTCCCTGCAGCTTACCCCTGCCCTGACCTTCCCTGCAGCATACCCGTGCCCTGACCTTCCCTGCAGCATACCCGTGCCCTGACCTTCCCTGCAGCATACCCGTGCCCTGACCTTCCCTGCAGCATACCCCTGCCCTGACCTTCCCTGCAGCATACCCCTGTCCTGACCTTCCCTGCAGCATACCCCTACTCTGACCTTCCCTGCAGCATACCCCTGCCCTGACCTTCCCTGCAGCATACCCCTACACTGACCTTCCCTGCAGCATACCCCTGCCCTGACCTTCCCTGCAGCATACCCCTACTCTGACCTTCCCTGCAGCATACCCCTGCCCTGACCTTCCCTGCAGCATACCCCTGCCCTGACCTTCCTTGCAGCAAACTCCTGCCCTGACCTTCCCTGCAGCATACCCGTGCCCTGACCTTCCCTGCAGCATACTCCTGCCCTGACCTTCCCTGCAGCATATCCCTACTCTGACCTTCCCTGCAGCATACCCCTGCCCTGACCTTCCCCGCAGCATACCTCTACCCTGCCCTGACCTTCCCTGCAGCATACCCCTACCATGCCCTGACCTTCCGTGCAGCATACCCCTGACCTTCCCTGCAGCATACCCCTACCCTGCCCTGACCTTCCCTGCAGCATACCCCTACCCTGCCCTGACCTTCCCTGCAGCATACCCCTACCCTGCCCTGACCTTCCCTGCAGCATACCCCTACCCTGCCCTGACCTTCCCTGCAGCATACCCCTACCCTGACCTTCCCTGCAGCATACCCCTACCCTGACCTTCCCTGCAGCAAACCCCTGCCCTGACCTTCCCTGCAGCATACCCTGCCCTGACCTTCCCCGCAGCATACCTCTGCCCTGACCTTCCCTGCAGCATAGCCGTGCCCTGACCTTCCCTGCAGCATACCCCTACCCTGACCTTCCCTGCAGCAAACCCCTACCCTGACCTTCCCTGCAGCATACCCGTGCCCTGACCTTCCCTGCAGCTTACCCCTGCCCTGACCTTCCCTGCAGCATACCCGTGCCCTGACCTTCCCTGCAGCATACCCGTGCCCTGACCTTCCCTGCAGCATACCCGTGCCCTGACCTTCCCTGCAGCATACCCGTGCCCTGACCTTCCCTGCAGCTTACCCCTGCCCTGACCTTCCCCGAAGCATACCCGTGCCCTGACCTTCCCTGCAGCATACCCGTGTCCTGACCTTCCTGCAGCATACCCGTGCCCTGACCTTCCCTGCAGCATACCCGTGCCCTGACCTTCCCTGCAGCATACCCCAACCCTGACCTTCCTTGCAGCATACCCCAACCCTAACCTTCCTTGCAGCATACCCGTGCCCTGACCTTCCCTGCAGCATACCCGTGCCCTGACCTTCCCTGCAGCTTACCCCTGCCCTGACCTTCCCTGCAGCATACCCGTGCCCTGACCTTCCCTGCAGCTTACCCCTGCCCTGACCTTCCCTGCAGCATACCCGTGCCCTGACCTTCCCTGCAGCTTACCCGTGCCCTGACCTTCCCTGCAGCTTACCCCTGCCCTGACCTTCCCTGCAGCATACCCGTGCCCTGATTTTCCCTGCAGCATACCCGTGCCCTGACCTTCCCTGCAGCATACCCGTGTCCTGATCTTCCCTGCAGCATACCCGTGCCCTGACCTTCCCTGCAGCATACCCGTGCCCTGACCTTCCCTGCAGCATACCCGTGCCCTGACCTTCCCTGCAGCTTACCCCTGCCCTGACCTTCCCTGCAGCATACCCGTGCCCTGATTTTCCCTGCAGCATACCCGTGCCCTGACCTTCCCTGCAGCATACCCGTGCCCTGATTTTCCCTGCAGCATACCCGTGCCCTGACCTTCCCTGCAGCATACCCGTGCCCTGATCTTCCCTGCAGCATACCCGTGCCATGACCTTCCCTGCAGCATACCCCTGCCCTGACCTTCCCTGCAGCATAGCCGTGCCCTGACCTTCCCTGCAGCATACCCCTGCCCTGACCTTCCCCGCAGCATACCCGTGCCCTGACCTTCCCTGCAGCATACCCCTGCCCTGACCTTCCCCGCAGCATACCCCTGCCCTGACCTGACCTGGTCCTGTGGTCTCCAGCAGGCTCCACCAGCGAGGACAACACGCAGATCTTCGTCATGAACAACTACTTCGGCATTGGCATCGAGGCGGAGCTGTGCCTTGACTTCCACAACGCCAGAGAGGAGAACCCTAACAAGTTCAACAGCAGGTGGGTGTGTGGCCAGGCAGGTGGGTGTGTGGCCAGGCAGGTGGGTGTGTGGCCAGGCAGGTGGGTGTGTGGCCAGGCAGGTGGGTGTGTGGCCAGGCAGGTGGGTGTGTGGCCAGGCAGGTGGGTGTGTGGCCAGACAGGTGGGTGTGTGGCCAGGCAGGTGGGTGTGTGGCCAGGCAGGTGGGTGTGTGGCCAGGCAGGTGGGTGTGTGGCCAGGCAGGTGGGTGTGGAGCCAGGCAGGTGGGTGTGGGGCCGGGCAGGTGGGTGTGTGGCCAGGCAGTTGGGTGTGGGGCCAGGCAGGTGGGTGTGGGGCCAGGCAGGTGGGTGTGTGGGGCCAGGCAGGTGGGTGTGTGTGGCCAGGCAGGTGGGTGTGGGGCCAGGCAGGTGGGTGTGTGGCCAGGCAGGTGGGTGTGTGGGGCCAGGCAGGTGGGTTTGTGGCCAGGCAGGTGGGTGTGTGGCCAGGCAAGTGGGTGTGTGGCCAGGCAGGTGGGTGTGTGGGGCCAGGCAGGTGGGTGTGGGGCCAGGCAGGTGAGTGTGGGGCCAGGCAGGTGGGTGTGTGGGGCCAGGCAGGTGGGTGTGTGGGGCCAGGCAGGTGGGTGTGGGGCCAGGCAGGTGGGTGTGTGGGGCCAGGCAGGTGGGTGTGTGGGGCCAGGCAGGTGGGTGTGGGGCCGGGCAGGTGGGTGTGGGGCCAGGCAGGTGGGTGTGGGGCCAGGCAGGTGGGTGTGGGGCCAGGCAGGTGGGTGTGGGGCCAGGCAGGTGGGTGTGTGGCCAGGCAGGTGGGTGTGTGGCCAGGCAGGTGGGTGTGTGGCCAGGCAGGTGGGTGTGGGGCCAGGCAGGTGGGTGTGTGGCCAGGCAGGTGGGTGTGGGGCCAGGCAGGTGGGTGTGTGGCCAGGCAGGTGGGTGTGTGGCCAGGCAGGTGGGTGTGGGGCCAGGCAGGTGGGTGTGTGGCCAGGCAGGTGGGTGTGTGGCCAGGCAGGTGGATGTGGGGCCAGGCAGGTGGGTGTGGGGCCAGGCAGGTGGGTGTGTGGCCAGGCAGGTGGGTGTGTGGGGCCAGGCAGGTGGGTGTGGGGCCAGGCAGGTGGGTGTGGGGCCAGGCAGGTGGGTAAGGGAGAGAGGATCAGTGGTGCAGGATATAGTGTGTAGAGAGAGAGAGAGAGAGAGAGAGAGAGAGAGAGAGAGAGAGAGAGAGAGAGAGAGAGAGAGAGAGAGAGAGAGAGAGAGAGAGAGAGAGAGAGACAGCCGTGAGTGACCACCCCTCGCCCTACAGACTACACAACAAGGGCGTCTACGTAAAGATGGGTCTGCGCAAGATGGTGTCGAGGAAGCTGTGCAAGGACCTCCACAAGGAGATACGGCTGGAGGTGGACGGGCGGACGGTGGAGCTGCCGCCGGTGGAAGGAGTCATTATCCTCAACATCCTCTCCTGGGGGTCGGGTGCCAACCCCTGGGGCCCAGAGAAGGACGACCAGTTCAATAAACCCAACCACTGGGACGGGCATCTGGAGGTGGTGGGGGTGACAGGCATCGTCCACCTGGGACAGATCCAGTCCGGGCTCCGCTCGGCCATCAGGATAGCACAGGGAGGTTAGTTCTGACCCCGCACCATGTGTGGGTCACTCAACGTCTTCCCCTCCAAGGTATTCTCCTTCACCTTCATCCCTTGAGAGCTCCAGTACACTCTCATGGCCACTTTTAAGGACCAGCGGTCAATTTTGCACTTATTTTGGAGGCTGAGAGTCCCTCCAGCTTATACCATAATATGAGGTATAAGTGCCCTTATACCTGATATTACCTACTCTTTTCTCAAGCTGCTGCACAACTACACATATACAAAATATTTAGCTGTGTAGCCGGCGGGTAGTGCCAAAACTCGTCGTGGGGGTCTAAATGTGACCCTGTCACACTGTTCACTTTTTACTTCTGGCAACCCCCGTAAAGCCTATGTTCATCCCTTACCCCAGACCATTCTCTCTGCCAGGGTGGATGAGGCTAGCCACAAGCTTCTGTTCTCCATATATATATATATATATATATATATATATATATATATATATATATATATATATATATAACTGAAAACTCACACCCCAGAAGTGACTCGAACCCATACTCCCACAACTGGTATGTACAGGGACGCCTTAATCCGCTTGACCATCACGACCGGACATAAGGAAGTGATAGCCGAGGCTATATGAACCACTTCCCCGCCGGCACTCGGATGGTAATCTTGGGCATAGCATTTTATCAAATCACCTCATTCTTTGGGGCACACGTGAGGAACACAAATGCAAACAAGCCTGAATGGTCCCCAGGACTATATACAACTGAAAACTCACACCCCAGAAGTGACTCGAACCCATACTCCCACAACTGGTATGTACAGGGACGCCTTAATCCGCTTGACCATCACGACCGGACATAAGGAAGTGATAGCCGAGGCTATATGAACCACTTCCCCGCCGGCACTCGGATGGTAATCTTGGGCATAGCATTTTATCAAATCACCTCATTCTTTGGGGCACACGTGAGGAACACAAATGCAAACAAGCCTGAATGGTCCCCAGGACTATATACAACTGAAAACTCACACCCCAATGATAAAATGCTATGCCCAAGATTACCATCCGAGTGCCGGCGGGGAAGTGGTTCATATAGCCTCGGCTATCACTTCCTTATGTCCGGTCGTGATGGTCAAGCGGATTAAGGCGTCCCTGTACATACCAGTTGTGGGAGTATGGGTTCGAGTCACTTCTGGGGTGTGAGTTTTCAGTTGTATATAGTCCTGGGGACCATTCAGGCTTGTTTGCATATATATATATATATATATATATATATATATATATATATATATATATATATATATATATATATATATATATATATATATATATATCTACATCCTGCATGTCACATCTATACTATAAGAGAGTATGTCTGTCTGCGTGTGTGTTCAAAGTTGGAGGCCACACGGTTGGGTCTAGCATCACCCATATTGAAAGAGGGAATGGTCTGGGGTATGGGATCAACATAGGCTGGTCTGGGTCGCCAGAATTCAAAAGAAAACAGCGTGTCAGGATCACATTCAAACCCTCTCGACGATTTTGTATCTGCCCGTCAGCTACATAGCTAAATATTTTCAAATCAAACTTGTCAACATATTTGTTCATATAGTAAAATGCACCATTATTCACTGATCTCGAGAAAATTAACAGAATTTTCCTCCTCTCAATAACTTGCCCGTACTCGCATAAAACAGACGATTCTTTCACAGCTTCAATGGTTTCTTAAGCCACGGATCTTTACCAGATGGACAAATGGGTAAATAGATGGATGCATAGATAGTGAGACAGGCAGGTGGACAGCCAGGAGACAGACAGACCCGGACAATGTCGGGTAAACCCCTACCCCCCCTTCATCCCCTCCTCAGTCGTCAATAAATACTGACCGCCGGGTCTTCCAGAGTGACTTTCACATGACCGGTAATGGAGAGCAGGCATCTTGTCCACCTTCTGATGGCCACTTCTTGGGGTTCTTGGGCTTAAACTAATAACACTGGGCGCTTGACATGGGCGAGAAAATAACCGAAAGGCACTAGCCACTGGTTACTGATTGACTGATGAAGATTAAATCACCCAAGAGATTGCACGGGCATGAATAGCCCGTAAGTGGTACATTTTTTATTTAGGCAGATTTAGACCACCATTGGTAAACAAAGACACTGTCACTAGTACACCTGGTAGAGACCCACTTGACGGTACGTCGTGGTGTTGTCTAGCCATGACTGTACTCTTTGGCTGATATATGTCCTCTTCCTGGGCATATATGCCTCAAAGTTGTCCTTCTCTAGCACGTGGTCCTCCTCACTGACTCCTGGGAACTCTGGTTGTGTTACTAGTCATCACTCTTCCTTGCTAGCTAGTAATAGTACTCTAGGTCCTTGAGATGGCGAGTAGTGCTTCAGTCATCCCTGATACTTTGTCTCTGCTCGAGTAATATATGTTATTTGCCACTGTGAGAGGTTCTTGGGACAGGATCCATCAAGCTGGGAGAGTAGAGCCCTCGTGCACCTATTCTCTCCTCTGGCCGAGGCGTAATTGAAGATTCAAGCCAATCACAAGAGCACACCTCGGGGTGTCACGCCACCCAAGTCACGTCTCATTGGTTGACAATGACATCATCCCTGTGACGTCATTATAAACAAAACGGTCTCACCTTCTAGAAGCTTCATTCAAATACTAAGAGCCAACAAGAATGAAAGAATTCTATATCTGTTCTCCCAACTTAACCACACATGCTCTGCTACCCATTAAAAGATTATACAACTATCCAAACTTGGGATAAGTATCCAATACTGAGTGAGGTGGATATTACAGAGGTAGTGGTCACTCCTGACACAACCCGTTCTCGCAAATTTAATAAGTCAATATTGACTTATTATATATGTGCATAGGTGACATACTTAACATAATAGATACCCTTAAAAAGATTCATAGAAAACACCAACCTTACCTAACCTACTTAGTATGTTAAGATAAGCATCTTATTGCTTCGTAATTACAATTATTACCTAACCTATAATAGGTATAGGTTCAGTAATAATTGTAATTACGAAGAAATAAGATGCTTATCTTAAGATACTAACAAGGTTAGGTAAGGTTGGTGTTTTCTATGAATCTTTTTAAGGGTATCTATTACGTTTAGTATATCACCTATGCACGTAGTTAATAAGTCAATATTGACTTTACGAATTTGCGAGAACGGGTTGCCTGACAAGTTACTCCTCACAGAAAATATTGTTGTAGTTACTGAATTTAAATTTGTTTTCTAATGAGCTCATGATCTACTCTAACTTCTGGTTCCTTTACACTTGACCCGCCCTGTCTCGGCGTTTAATTAATCGTCAGACACCTTGTGAAGAGCTGGTGCTGAGGTAGTGAAACATGGCAGCTGGTGTCCGTAGATTGTTACTTGTCCATTGAAACTTTTGACCATAATAATAAGGTAGCAGTGGTAATAAAAGTCCCTGCGAGATGGGGACTTTTATTACCACTGCTGTCTTATTCACTTTTGTGTTGATGATATCCTCAAAATGCATCCGGAGTCTGCCAGTGCAGACCGCCCATCACATGCCTCTGTATGACTAACCATCCTGTGTGATGGGGATTTTTTAGCATCACCTAGTTAGCTTTTTTGACACACTGTACTCCACTTCATATAGTCTAGGGTAGCTGCACTAATGCAGATGTACCTAATGTATTAATAACAAAAAATTGAGCATAATGTGTGTAGATGTGTTGGGAATGTTGTGTGTTGTAATGTCCCCGTGTGGAAGGTATATTACTTGATCTTTATATGGCGCTTAACTCTTTGTGTTTTACATTATCATGTTTGAGGAGGTTTGTTTATAACACTTGTGTGTGTCACTAATATAGACCTCTCTTGTGAAACATATACATTTTAACTCTACTAACTGATGAGACATTAGCAAGCTGAGAATTAAATATTTGCAAGAGGTAAAAGCCTCTAGTAAATTTGCGAGTTATAATATTAGAGTTGAGTTATCTTCTTGTCACATGATATCATTATGTCATGGAGACTCTATGTATATTTTTGGTTTCATTATTTTATGCTTTATTTTATTCGTTTTAAATAATATATGATATTATTATATATTAAATGTACAGTATAATAATTTCTATATTATTTTATATATAAGCAAATGTCTGTGGGAAGTGTAGAGTTGTCCCTATGTCATGTTGTAAACATGATTAGAGCTGTCAGTGGACATTAATGACCAGGCCATGTAAACATCTTCTGGCTTGTTTATGGCATTTAAATTATACCCAATAGAATATTAATCACATAAAATTTCATTGAGCATATGTCAAATACCTTAATTCAGTTCAGGGAACAGTGAGAGCCATTAACTCATTACATTCTTCAAAGAATGCTCACATTCTTTGAATACTCACCTCTACTTTGAACCAAAATCATACGGACCACAAAGTGTAATTTTCATATATGTTTACACTTACAATTATTCTTATCGAGGAGTGTCTAAAGGGAAAATGGTACAATTGTATTGTCGTGTACAACTATGTTTGATGAAGTGTTAGTCAGGTGTGTGGGCTCCCTCAGAATCACTTTGCAGATTGTCTTTTGTCTTAAGTGTCAGCAACTCAGAAGCTAGAGAGCACTATCACGTTTGTATCTGCTCATGGAGGTAGTGTCTAATGTTCTGGACACCTTCATATTCTGGGTCTCTACAAACCCTCACTTTCCCTCACCGTCATGTACAGATCGTGTTGTGACCAGGCACGTGTGTGTGTGTCTGGTTGTATACCGTATGGTATGTTTGTGTTTATATATCTGTATACACGTAATTAATAGTAAAAAAAAGTCTTATATTGACCGTCAATCTTTCAGGACACATCCGCATCAAGCTGAACTCTGAACTTCCGGTGCAAGTAGATGGAGAACCATGGAACCAGGCACCGGGGGAGGTGGTAGTGCTCAAGTCTGCCCTCAAGGTACGTTGGTAGTGCTCAGGTCAGTCCTTGGGGTACGGTGGTGGTGCTCAGGTCTGTCCTTGAGGTACGGTGGTAGTGCTCAGGTCAGTCCTTAGGGTACCTTGGTAGTGCTCAGGTCAGTCCTTGAGGTACGGTGGTAGTGCTCAGGTCTGTCTTTGAGGTACAGTGGTAGTGCTCAGGTCGGTCCTTGAGGTACGGTGGTAGTGCTCAGGTCAGTCCTTGAGGTAAGGTGGTAGTGCTCAGGTCAGTCCTTGAGGTACAGTGGTAGTGCTCAGGTCTGTACTTGAGGTACGGTGGTAGTGCTCAGGTCAGTCCTTGAGGTACGGTGGTAGTGCTCAGGTGTGTCCTTGAGGTACAGTGGTAGTGCTCAGGTCTGTCCTTAAGGTACGGTGGTAGTGCTCAGGTCAGTCCTTGAGGTACGGTGGTAGTGCTCAGGTCTGTCCTTGAGGTACAGTGGTAGTGCTCAGGTCTGTTCTTGAGGTACAGTGGTAGTGCTCAGGTCTGTTCTTGAGGTACAGTGGTAGTGCTCAGGTCAGTCCTTGAGGTACGGTGGTAGTGCTCAGGTCTGTCCTTGAGGTACAGTGGTAGTGCTCAGGTCTGTCCTTGAGGTACAGTGGTAGTGCTCAGGTCTGTTCTTGAGGTACAGTGGTAGTGCTCAGGTCTGTACTTGAGGTACGGTGGTAGTGCTCAGGTCTGTCCTTGAGGTACAGTGGTAGTGCTCAGGTCTGTTCTTGAGGTACAGTGGTAGTGCTCAGGTCTGTCACTGAGGTACGGTGGTAGTGCTCAGGTCTGTCCTTGAGGTACGGTGGTAGTGCTCAGGTCAGTCCTTGAGGTACGGTGGTAGTGCTCAGGTCAGTCCTTGAGGTACAGTGGTAGTGCTCAGGTCTGTCCTTGAGGTACGGTGGTAGTGCTCAGGTGTGTCCTTGAGGTACGGTGGTAGTGCTCAGGTCTGTCCTTGAGGTACGGTGGTAGTGCTCAGGTGTGTCCTTGAGGTACAGTGGTAGTGCTCAGGTCTGTCCTTGAGGTACGGTGGTAGTGCTCAGGTGTGTCCTTGAGGTACAGTGGTAGTGCTCAGGTCTGTCCTTGAGGTACAGTGGTAGTGCTCAGGTCTGTCCTTGAGGTACAGTGGTAGTGCTCAGGTCTGTCCTTGAGGTACGGTGGTAGTGCTCAGGTCTGTCCTTGAGGTACAGTGGTAGTGCTCAGGTCTGTCCTTGAGGTACGGTGGTAGTGCTCAGGTGTGTCCTTGGTGGTACAGTGGTAGTGCTCAGGTCTGTCCTTGAGGTACAGTGGTAGTGCTCAGGTCAGTCCTTGAGGTACAGTGGTAGTGCTCAGGTCTGTCCTTGAGGTACAGTGGTAGTGCTCAGGTCTGTCCTTGAGGTACGGTGGTAGTGCTCAGGTCTGTCCTTGAGGTACAGTGGTAGTGCTCAGGTCTGTCCTTGAGGTACGGTGGTAGTGCTCAGGTGTGTCCTTGGTGGTACAGTGGTAGTGCTCAGGTGTGTCCTTGAGGTACGGTGGTAGTGCTCAGGTGTGTCCTTGAGGTACGGTGGTAGTGCTCAGGTCTGTCCTTGAGGTACAGTGGTAGTGCTCAGGTCTGTTCTTGAGGTACAGTGGTAGTGCTCAGGTCTGTCCTTGAGGTACAGTGGTAGTGCTCAGGTCTGTACTTGAGGTACGGTGGTAGTGCTCAGGTCTGTCCTTGAGGTACGGTGGTAGTGCTCAGGTCTGTCCTTGAGGTACAGTGGTAGTGCTCAGGTCTGTTCTTGAGGTACAGTGGTAGTGCTCAGGTCTGTCCTTGAGGTACAGTGGTAGTGCTCAGGTCTGTACTTGAGGTACGGTGGTAGTGCTCAGGTCTGTCCTTGGTGGTACAGTGGTAGTGCTCAGGTCTGTCCTTGAGGTACAGTGGTAGTGCTCAGGTCTGTACTTGAGGTACGGTGGTAGTGCTCAGGTCTGTCCTTGGTGGTACAGTGGTAGTGCTCAGGTCTGTCCTTGAGGTACGGTGGTAGTGCTCAGGTCTGTCCTTGAGGTACGGTGGTAGTGCTCAGGTCTGTCCTTGAGGTACGGTGGTAGTGCTCAGGTCTGTCCTTGAGGTACAGTGGTAGTGCTCAGGTCTGTCCTTGAGGTACAGTGGTAGTGCTCAGGTCTGTCCTTGAGGTACGGTGGTAGTGCTCAGGTCTGTCCTTGAGGTACGGTGGTAGTGCTCAGGTCTGTCCTTGAGGTACGGTGGTAGTGCTCAGGTCAGTCTTTGAGGTACGGTGGTAGTGCTCAGGTCTGTCCTTGGTGGTACGGTGGTAGTGCTCAGGTCAGTCCTTGGTGGTACACTTAGTGCTCAAGTTGGTCATGGTTGATGATGATGATGATGATGATGATGATGATGATGATGATGATGATGATGATGATGATGATGATGATGATGATGATGATGATGATTGTGTTATCAAAGCTCATGATGGTAGCACCTGATGATGAGAACTGACACTAATATGCATGATAGTGAAAATTATAAGTGGTATGAATGGCTAATGGTGATATGATAGTAGCGATGATCTGACTAATGATAGTGATGATGTTGAGCAGTTCTGATTGTGTGGTAGATAATGAATATAGTGATGATAGAGGTGGTGAAGGTGATGAGATTATTGTGAAATAATGAATGAGTGATGATAAGTTGTTCTCATTGTGATGGTCAAAACTATAGAGTGATAATGATGGTGAAGATGCACTGATAGTGAGGAGTGTTGTGAGAGTGATGAACGTTGTGATAGTGATGACAGTGAGGAAAGGAGGTCTTGGGAAGGGAGACCATAACACAATTACAGAATGTAACACTATATGGTATTGTTAGATAATCCTCCTCCACCGTTACTAGCACAGGGCCTGGCTTGTGCTAGTAGCACAGGGCCTGGCTTGTGCTAGTAGCACAGGGCCTGGCTTGTGCTAGTAGCACAGGGCCTGGCTTGTGCTAGTAGCACAGGGCCTGGCTTGTACTACTAGCACAGGACCTGGCTTGTACTAGTAGCACAGGGCCTGGCTTGTACTACTAGCACAGGACCTGGCTTGTGCTACTAGCACAGAGCCTGGTTTGTGCTAGTAGCACAGGGCCTGGCTTGTGCTAGTAGCACAGGGCCTGGCTTGTGCTAGTAGCACAGGGCCTGGCTTGTGCTAGTAGCACAGGGCCTGGCTTGTGCTAGTAGCACAGGGCCTGGCTTGTACTACTAGCACAGGACCTGGCTTGTACTAGTAGCACAGGGCCTGGCTTGTACTACTAGCACAGGACCTGGCTTGTGCTACTAGCACAGAGCCTGGCTTGTGCTACTAGCACAGGACCTGGATTGTACTACTAGCACAGGACCTGGATTGTACTACTAGCACACGACCTGGCTTGTACTACTAGCACAGGACCTGGATTGTACTACTAGCACACGACCTGGCTTGTACTACTAGCACAGGACCTGGATTGTACTACTAGCACAGGACCTGGATTGTACTACTAGCACACGACCTGGCTTGTACTACTAGCACAGGACCTGGATTGTACTACTAGCACAGGACCTGGCTTGTACTAGTAGCACAGGACCTGGCTTGTATCATTAACACGACCTGGCTTGCTTAACTACCACATGACCTGGCTTGTATCATTAGCACAGAACCTGGCTTATATCACTTCCATAGAACCTGGCTTGTATTTCTAACGCAGGACCTGGCTTGCTTCACTAACATGTCACCTGGCTTGCTTTGTAGTTATCATATGTTAAGAGAAAAATTTGCTAGAAAGGGAGACACACACACACACACACACACACACACACACACACACACACACACACACACACACACACACACACACACACACACACACACACACACACACACACACACACACACACACACACACACACACACACACACACTCACACGATATACTAAAGAAATTGTTCATGACTTTTGTTAGGCCAAAGCTAGAATATGCAGCTGTTGTGTGGTGCCCATATCTTAAGAAGCACATCAACAAACTGGAAAAGGTGCAAAGACATGCTACTAAGTGGCTCCCAGAACTGAAGGGCAAGATCTATGAGGAGAGGTTAGAGGCATTAAATATGCCAAAACTAGAAGACAGAAGAAAACGAGGTGATATGATCACTACATACAAAATAGTGACAGGAAATGATCAAATCGATAGGGAAGATTTCCTGAGACCTGGAACTTTAACAACAAGAGATCATAGATATAAACTAGCTAAACACAGATGCCGAAGAAATATAAGAAAATTCACTTTCGCAAACAAAGTGGTAGACAGTTGGAACAAGTTAGGTGAGAAGGTGGTGGAGGCCAAGACCGTCAGTAGTTTCAAAGCGTTATATGACAAAGAGTGCTGGGAAGACGGGACACCACGAGCGTAGCTCTCATCCTGTAACTACACTTAGGTAATTACACACACACACACACACACACACACACACACACACACACACACACACACACACACACACACACACACACACACACACACAACACCATCTGTCATATTCTTAATGACCTCGGTGGAGGTAAACAACAGAAATTGATATTTATATCGTGTCAGAGGTCATGTGACGTGTCATACCAGAGATGTGTCACCTCTCGTGCCAAATGTTGTGTCATCTGTCATGACAGATGACTTACAGTATGACAGATGATATGACTTATGGCATGGCAGGCCACACGACCTCTGACACGATCGGTTAATTGAGAATTTTTTGTTATTTACGTATGTCAATTACTGGAGAGATGGAGTAGGGCAAATAATGATGTGCAAATAGTAGCTGTAGCGGCACATGTAACTGTAGTGAATGTTGCATCTTTTACTCTTGTTTATTTTGTAGGCAACAATGTTGAAGAAAAGTAAGATCAAGCGACGCAACACCGAGCCATCGCTGCATGCCTCCAACGGCGATAAGGACGCCCCCGACCCCTAGCCTCGACCCCATCCACCTCACCTCTCCCAACCACAACCACTCAATACATTCCACGCCCGCCTCTCTCTCTCCCTCTCCCTCTCCCTCTCCCTCTCTCTCTCTCTCTCTCTTAAACAAAGACACCCTTCACCTGACACACTTCTATCAGGCTGACCATCAACATGTTAATCTTTCTCCCGTCTTCTTTTTCTGTTAGGTTAAGCGGCTGTGATATTTATTCTAGCATACCTAGTTTTTTTCGAGCCCTCTGCCTCTCTTTTTATTATTATTATTAGTATTATTGTTATTATTATCATTATTATTATTATTAAGACAAACAAATTTATCTTGTCAATGTATTGGTGTGAGATCATTGTTTACGTTTCACATATACAATAGGTTCAGTGGTGGAGTGTGAGAGAGGATGTGTGTTGTGTGTTTATAGGTGACGGGCAGCAGCAGGGGCCCTTGAGGAACCCCGCTCCTCCCCACCACCACTCTATGACACCTCGCTACCTCTTCTATATTCATCTTTCATTTTCCTGTGTGTCAAATGGATTTACTTTTGTTCAAGATATTGTATTTTGTTCGAATCAAATAGACTTCTTTATGCTGCTCACGAAACAGATTTCCTTATATATGATAGAAAAAAGATCTCATCTATATTCTCTCCAAATATACTTTCTTGCATGGTGACTAAAATATATTTCACTTTGTAATGTTCTCCAGATAGACCTTCTTCCCATGTTCGCCAAAATATCTGACAAGTTCTACCCCATGCCAAAATAGGTTTCTTCCATTACATTATTTTTGTTATATAAGGTGTAGATTTTTGGCTTGATGTGAGGGGTCCCATGTGGCCAGTAACCTATAATGTGTTGTTCTCTTCTCCCTGCCTCTCTCCTTCTTCCTAAATTATCTCCTTCGTTGTCCTTATTTTGCCCTCTCTCCTATTTTGTTTCTTTTCGTGCCATGTGTTTAATGGTCCTTGGCTTGTTCACTGACTCCACGTGACCAACCCGCCTCTGCCTACACATCACCCACACTCTGGCTGTCCCATACCACCTGACTGCTTCACCCACCCACCTACACAACCCCCCCTCCACCTCACGTCTTCCCTTCCCCCCTCCCATCCCGGTATACCTCTCCTTCTCCCACAGGCCAACATGCTCAAGAAGACCTCCAAGTCTAAACTGAGGAGGCGCAATACTGAGCCATCCATGGTGGTCAACGAGCAGGCTAAGCTGGAGCCCATCAGACCAGACCCATCCTCCTCCTCCCACCCTCTCTAGTGTCTCTCCCATGCCCACCCTCCTCCCACACCTTCTCATTCCTCTCCCATTACCTTATCCTACACCACCTTCCCTTCACCTTCTCCTGCACTTCCTCCCGGTCCCCTCTTCAACAGCAACAATCGCAGCATCAGGCGAGGCCGGGCTTGACTGGGTCTGGGGTGGCCAGTTAGCAGTCAGTCGGCTATCACACCAACACTACAACTCCTGCCGCCACAACTTCAACCTCTGCCATCGCCGCCACATCCACCACCGTCGCCGCCACATCCACCACCGTCGCCGCCACATCCACCACCGTCGCCGCCACATCCACCACCGTCGCCGCCACATCCACCACCGTCGCCGCCACATCCACCACCAACGCCGTCACATCCACCACCGTCATCGCTGCCACATCCACCGCCATCAACTAGGCCACATCGAGAAGGATTAACGTGAAAGGTGTGAGTGATGAGTGAGACTCATTTGAAGCAGTGTGGTGAGGTGAGGGCGTGGTGTGTGTGTTAGGGCGGCTTGTAGGCTGTGTGAAGGAGGCACGGAGCGAGTGTCGGCTCCCCCACCATCACCTCACACACACTCTGCTCATGGTTGTACACAAGGACGAGGAAGGGCCGCCAGTTACCCATCTCAAACAGTGTAATTAGTTATCTCTCAAAGCATTCCATAGTGTAGTGGGAGCGATTGGTGTCGATCCTACCTTCCTCCATAGTGTAGTGGGTCTCTGCCCTCCTGAGCTGTGTAGTAGGGCTGGGGGGGGGGTGCTCTGCCCTCCTCTGACAGTATTGCGGAATATTTGGGTAAGGTTTAGTGTTTGAAGGCTAGCTAGCTGCCTTCATTCATAATGAAGCAGGGGTGGGCAGAGCTTTGGTTATACCATGGTGCAGCCAGGTAGAGTCAGGCAGTGTCCTGTCTCCTACCATGGTGCAGCCAGGTAGAGTCAGGCAGTGCCCTGTCTCCTACCATGGTACAGCCAGGTAGAGTCAGGCAGTGTCCTGTCTCCTACCATGGTGCAGCCAGGTAGAGTCAGGCAGTGACCTGTCTCCTACCATGGTACAGCCAGGTAGAGTCAGGCAGTGCCCTGTCTCCTACCATGGTGCAGCCAGGTAGAGTCAGGCAGTGACCTGTCTCCTACCATGGTGCAGCCAGGTAGAGTCAGGCAGTGCCCTGTCTCCTACCATGGTGCAGCCAGGTAGAGTCAGGCAGTGCCCTGTCTCCTACCATGGTGCAGCCAGGTAGAGTCAGGCAGTGACCTGTCTCCTACCATGGTGCAGCCAGGTAGAGTCAGGCAGTGCCCTGTCTCCTACCATGGTACAGCCAGGTAGAGTCAGGCAGTGACCTGTCTCCTACCATGGTGCAGCCAGGTAGAGTCAGGCAGTGCCCTGTCTCCTACCATGGTGCAGCCAGGTAGAGTCAGGCAGTGACCTGTCTCCTACCATATCACCCAATGTTTCGGCCTGCAGATAGGACCAATGTATGACTTAGTTTTGGCAAGAGACGGATATGAACACCAGAGCACGACCCACGCACCTTGTGTCATGTTGGTGCGGCGTGTATTATGGCGTGAGACCAGTGCCGCCATCCCTCGCTATGGTTACTGCTGCTCTTGTTTCCACCACTCCCCCCACCCCCCTTGCTACTGCGTTAGTGCTACTCCCCCACCACTTGTGATGCTCCCCAGGTGTGGAACGCCCCCACGTGTCACTCCACAAGGCTAATAAACTCTTCAGGTGTGACTAACACCCCAGGTATGGCCTCCAGGTGCGAATCATCTTTCCAGGCGTGACTGACGTCCAAAGAGTAATTGTCGAACTCTGTGTATTGTGTACACGGGGCACCTCTACAGCACTCACATCCACAACGACCAAGGTCCTTCCACACCACCACCGGTTCTAGCAGGGTCCTCCACACCACCACCAGTGCTAGCAGGGACCTCCACACCACCACCGGTGCTAGCAGGGACCTCCACACCACCACCGGTGCTAGCAGGGACCTCCACACCACCACCGGTGCTAGCAGGGACCTCCACACCACCACCGGTTCTAGCAGGGTCCTCCACACCACCACCAGTGCTAGCAGGGACCTCCACACCACCACCGGTGCTAGCAGGGACCTCCACACCACTACCGGTGCTAGCAGGGACCTCCACACCACCACCAGTGCTAGCAGGGACCTCCACACCACCACCAGTGCTAGCAGGGACCTCCACACCACCACCAGTGCTAGCAGGGACCTCCACACCACCACCGGTGCTAGCAGGGACCTCCACACCACCACCGGTGCTAGCAGGGACCTCCACACCACCACCGGTGCTAGCAGGGACCTCCACACCACCACCGGTGCTAGCAGGGACCTCCACACCACCACCGGTGCTAGCAGGGACCTCCACACCACCACCGGTGCTAGCAGGGACCTCCACACCACCACCAGTGCTAGCAGGGACCTCCACACCACCACCGGTTCTAGCAGGGACCTCCACACCACCACCGGTGATAGCAGGGACCTCCACACCACCACCGGTGCTAGCAGGGACCTCCACACCACCACCGGTGCTAGCAGGGACCTCCACACCACCACCGGTTCTAGCAGGGACCTCCACACCACCACCGGTGCTAGCAGGGACCTCCACACCACCACCGGTTCTAGCAGGGACCTCCACACCACCACCGGTGCTAGCAGGGACCTCCACACCACCACCGGTGCTAGCAGGGACCTCCACACCACCACCAGTGCTAGCAGGGACCTCCACACCACCACCAGTGCTAGCAGGGACCTCCACACCACCACCGGTGCTAGCAGGGACCTCCACACCACCACCGGTGCTAGCAGGGACCTCCACACCACCACCGGTGCTAGCAGGGACCTCCACACCATCACTGCTAGATGGGGACTTACCCATACCAAAGTTAGGATTCTCCACGTCACTGTTAGATGAAGCCCATAGCCCACAAAGTTAGGGCCCTCCGCACCCCTGCCAGACTGGGGTCCATACCCTCAAAGTTTGGGCCCTCCACGTCACTCCTAGATGCGACCTAATGCCCATAAAATAGGGCCTTCCGCATCACTGCTAGATGGGGCCCAAAGCCCAGAAAGTGAGGGCCATTTGTGCCATTGCTAGATGGGGCCATAAGCTCACAAATTAAGGGTCCTATACGTCACTTCTATATGGGGCCCTAAGCCTACAAATTAGGGTCTTTTGCTCCGCAATTTTATTTGTAATTGTGTTTGTTTAGTGTTGGTCTGCTTTCCGTGCAATGTGCCCGCCGGTGTCTAGTGCAATGTTAAGTTACGTTGCCCAAGACACTGCTTAGCGTATATTGCCCTAGCCACACTCACATCCTCCTTTCACTCCCTCTCACCACACTCCCTCCCTCACCACACTCCCTCCCTCACCACACTCCTCTCACCACACTCCCTCCCTCACCACACTCCTCTCACCACACTCCCTCCCTCACCGCACTGACTCCCTCCCCTCACTCACTCCCTCACCACACTGACTCCTCCCCTCACTCCCTCCCTCACCACACTGACTCCCTCCCCTCACTCCCTCACCACACTGACTCCCTCCCCTCACTCCCTCCCTCCCTCACCACACTCCCTCAAAACCTCACTCCTACACCTCCTCCCTCTAAACACCCCCTCCCTCACATCACCTTCCCCCCTTGCTCTACCTTCCCTGAACAGCCATCTGTACAGCCGCTGGACGAGTTCCACCCTGGAGGTGTCAAGAGAAGCCTAGGCTCTACTCCTCATTCACACTCACCACTCCGAGGCACAACTCCGAAGTGCCACTCCGAGGCACCACTCCGAGGCACAACTTCGAAGTGCCATTCCGAGGCACCACTCCGAGGCACCACTCCGAAGCGCCACTCCGAGGCGCCATTCGGAGGCACCACTCCGAGGTACACATTCCAGTCGCCACTCTGAGGCACTGAGCACTGTTGTCAGAAACTGGAACATAGAGAGATGAATATATAATCACTATGTTTGAGATTAAATGAATATACAAAATACTATAACATTAATGCATAGGATATTGTGGGAGACGCGTGGTTGAGGACGGTGAGGTCACCCCGTGTGTGTGTGATGAACAGCAAAATCCCTCTTTGGAGAACGGTAGAAGGCACCTTCTTCAGAGATCTGAGTAGGACACGAGACTTGACCTTTACAGAGACGTCAACAGTGATGATGTTGGAAGCCATGAGGTGTGTGTGTGTGAGCGAGCAGAAGCAGGCAAACCATTAAATCACCCATCTCCGGTTGGGTAGGGCGGCTTGAGCACTGGTCTGCGGCTGTATAATCAAAAATTGAAGCTTATAACTTCAAAGTATATGGTAGCCGGTTGGTGTGAGGGATCGTGGATCCCAAGTCTAGTGCACGACAGTAGTCTGTATCCCTTCTTGGGTTTTTATTGTACATAGCAGATGTAAATGTATATTTTTATTGTTATATGTTTACTATAAAATATCTATTATACCTCAGCTTGTTCCAAAGATTTATTAACAAGTTTTATTGAATTCACAAAAAGATGCAGTATTTTGATATGTATTGATTTATATAGTATATTATAGGTGAACGATATTGTGCCATATGTTTCCATTAGCTGGTAAACTTTATGTAAAGCATTTTGACAAGATTCACTTTATACCCCTTTACTCTCGCGGTCTCTTGCAGTTGTTTGTTTACGTGTGGGTAACGCAGCATCAGTAGGGCGGGCAGGGTTTGATAGCTCCTGTGACAGCTGTCTGTGTTCTCATCTGTGACAGCTGTCTGTGTTCTCATCTGTGACAGCTGTGTCAGTGTTCTCATCTGTGACAGCTGTGTCAGTGTTCTCATCTGTGACAGCTGTGTCAGTGTTCTCATCTATGACAGCTGTGTCAGCGTTCTCATCTGTGACGGCTGTCTCAGGGCTCTCGTCTATGATGCCTGTCTCAGTACTCTCATCTGTGACGTCTGTGTCCGTGCTCTTATTAAAAGAAATCTTATAGCAGATTACGTTAGACAATGTATTAAGAACGAGATGAAAACATCAGTCGCCACTCAGGCTCCGAGGCCACACGGGCACCGGGGCCACACTGCTCCCCTACGCCCTGATCTCTGGTAGGTTTCCTCATCTATTGATTCCGTACATGTTGAAGGCGCCTCAGGCAGTGTTAATGTGTTGCTATAGGTAAGGCACAAGTAGGAAGTGGGTGAGGCATGAAGGTGGGACGCTGGTAGAGTGATTGTCGTCCTGCTCCACCCGTCACTTGTGGGGTACCTGGCCTCGCCTCCTGAGCATCTTGGTGCTGGTCCTCTAGAACCGAGTTTGAGAGAAATTCATTTTGTCCAACAGAGAGAGACCTTTAATTGCCAGTCAGAGCAGTTGTCAGCCATGACACCATGGTAGTTTTTGCCCTACTGTCCTGAGGTTGGTGCAGCTCTCAGAACTCACTTTTCCCCCTTTTGGTCCTTCCAATGTGTGTATGTTACACACTCTTCACAGAAGCTATTGTAACTCATATTACAACGAACTAAACAGCAGAAACAACCATTTATATGAGTTTTATACAGTCGGCAACAACAACAATCCTGGCTAATTACCTCCTTGCTTTAGTTGCTGGAGATGACACCATGGATGTGTGGGGGTAGAAGGAAGAGGGGCATTGTGATGTGCAGGGACGGCATGGTCACCACCACCACCAGCTGCCTTTACCGTCATGACCAAAACCCACTTCCCTCCCCCTTCCTGCGCTGTCTTATTCACAGATTACAAGCTACATTCATTGCCCTCACCCATATTTATTGACCCATTCCCCATCGTATTCCTCCCTCACCCACTGATAAAGCATCCTTTTCCTGGTTCATCTTCCTATTTATGCCTCACCCTACTTACTCTGCACCTTATTTATCCTTTACTTTTGTCATTCCTCATTCTAACCCTACTCATCACTTCTTATTTCTCACACTACTCATTACTTACAATACTTCTGTATCGTATTATTCCATCATTCTACTCATTCTTCACTATATTCCTACTTCACCCCACTCATACCTTTAGTCAATCACCCTCATTCTACTTGTCACCCTGACCATGCATCAACACTCAAGGTTTGCACTTATCATTACACAACAGACACAAAGAGTTGGCTTATATTTTCTCCTCCCTCAAGTCATTTCATCGTGCTTAATAATCTTTGACACCTGTTTGCCTCCCTGCCCCTTTCGCTCTCCCCCCACACATCCCATTAGTTCTATATACACATTAGAATCCTTTTACCAGTGAGGGAGTTGCATCACTGAGCCGGATGGCAGAGTGTGGCCAGGTGCTGGAGGCTAAGATGAGCACTGAGGTACATGAGGCTCTCACAGCATCAGCATGATGGTGACCGCGACGACACCTCGCACAGCTACAACACCTCCACCTTCCAGCTTCTCGAAGTGACTGACCCAAGATGAGAGTAGCCAGTCATCTGTGCTTCTCCCGAAGTATGGATCTGCAGCATTGCACACTTAGAAGTGGTATTGTTCATCCTCTAGCAGGTTGGATGTATCTCATTCTATAATTTGCCATCATTGGTTCTCCTCTTTACCAGGGACGAGCACCCGCCTTCACGCCCAACAGCCTATACCACCCTCGTATACAGGAAACTTTCCGACTGGTGTCCTACGCCTTGTGTTACCTATGGTTCTTGCTGTCCTTGTCCTTCAGGTGTCCAACAAGGGAGTCTGGACACCTCAAATAATGTTTTATTGTGTTCTAGTTCGTCTTCCATTTGGATTATCTCCCCCTCCCTTACTCCTCCCTGCATCAAGATTCGCCATATTCTTTGTCGCTCTGTTGATGATGCATATCAAAATTTCTGTTGTCCAGAGGCTCATTCTACATTATGTTTTCTAAATGTTACATCTTTGTTGTATCTGCCTCTTTGGTGTCAACGAATTGCTCCATTTACTAAAAGTGGTATTTTTATCCAGCCACTCTGAAAGTTAAAACATGTGTTTTAAACAATGACACACTACACCACCTATGAATTAATTGACTACGCATGCTGTTCTTTAGGTCGACTACAACAGCTGTTCTTTCAATCACACAACTATACCAGCTGTGTTTTAGAGACTGACCCAGTAAACTAGGTGCTCTCAGAAGATTAACCCAGCAAACTAGCTGCTATTAGAAGGTTGACCCAGCAAACCATATGCTCTCAGAATTTTCACTTAATTAATACCGCAGCTGATTCTAAATGGAAATTGAAGTGAGTGGCACCTTCTA